GAGAAGGGGATGGATGTAAATCCCGTTTTCTCCTGAATTTTTCGGGATAAACTCCCATTTCTCTGCCAGGATGAGAGTCACCGCACCAGGAGGGGAAACTGAGGCACGGTGCTGCGGGGAGGACTTGGGGCTCTGGAGCTTGTGGGTTTTATTGAGTGAATCTGGGGCATCTCAAAGAGCAACGAGACGGGGCTGGGCTGTCAGAAAGATAAATGTAAAGAGCTTTTTGGGTTTGCAAAGCTGCTGGAGACACATCTCACTGCAGCCCTGTCCCTGCGCCCTTGGGGACTGCGGCGTCTAACACATCCCAAAGTTCCCTAGAAGTGCCCTAAAAATTCCCTGTGAAGCCATTGCTTCAGCAAATCTCCATTTTTTTAACTTGAAACCATCGTTGAAGGCTCCAGCGCTCCCTCCTCACCTTTATTGAAGCTAATTCTGGAATTAAGAGTAATAGACCCCGAGCTGGTAGCAAATTGAGGCATAAATAAGCGCTGGGATAAGAGAGGGATCACACCAGCTACCGTCCCTGATTTTCTGTGCCAGGTGATTTATTAAGCTGCATCGTGTCCTTATTTATGGATCACAAAAGATAATGATGATCAAAACTTAATGGTGTTCAATGGGAAGGCACGCGACGGGCTGGCGAGGACGGGTGGAAAAATCACTTGCAAAATACTGGGAGACCCCGTGCTGGAGGTTTTCCCTGGAGAAGCTGAGCTCAGGGATAAACCCAGCCTGGAGGGTGATTTTCAGCAGTGCATGAGACCTAAGCAATGGGGAAACTGAGGCACAGAGGGTGCTGGTGGGGTAACAAGCTGACATCTCCCTGCTCCTCCTCCAAATATCCCTGATAACCCTTCGCTCGCTGCCACGTGGTGCATCACACAGACATTCCAGCCTATTGCAACTAATTATCCACGGGATTTCCCATTAATTACCAGCTGCTGTTTGCCTATAGCATCCTGGGAGCTGCTGTGGTGACTGACACTCTATGGTGACACCCACAGCCCCTCTGTGGTGACCCCCACA